TCCCCTACCGCCAAATCCTGCATCCGCCCCAGCCTTTGGCCTTTAAACGAATATTTAATTAAATGCTGGCACTAAATGTGGTGTTCTCTATTTAAAATAATATGATACATTATGCCATTTTAAAGTTTTATATTTCAAGCGTTGTGGAATGGTTTACTGTATGCTGTATATATCATGCCCTGTACTCGTTCTACCAGATCTCATTAAAAAAAATCATAAAAACGTCAATATCTTACACTATAGCACAAGACTGACTCAAAATGGCTTGGATCAGCCCTGTGTGACGTGGTACACTTATGAATACAAGAATGCACAAACTCAAAATGAGTGTGCTATGCATATACAACACTTTTTTAAAAATAAGAACCAGTAAAAGTTTACTCAGGCTCAGTGTTCACATTCTTTGGCCGATTTTCTTGTGTTACACACTTTTCATAGAAAATTATTATTGTACAAGTATACTGGAATGTACAGAGGTGAAAGTGGCCCTGGAAAAAATGGCCCCTAAAAAAAAAAAATTTTTGAGCAATTTCAGCCTCAGTGTTCCTATAAAACGTGTTCTTATAAAAATTTAAAAAAAATAAAAAGTGTACCGTAGTATCAAAGGCAATGCAACTGGGAAACGATTAAATTCACCAGCCACGAGGAACATTATATTTAAATATCATGAATCAATCCACGAGATCCAGGGAGCGTGACGGCGGTGGTACTGAGCGGTTGGAACTGGTAGTGGTGGAAGTGGTATATGTGTACGGTCCGGGTTGTGAGCCAGGTTTAAGCGTGGGTAAGATGCGATTACATATCGATATGTCAGCTTGTAGGTGGGCCTGTGTTATCAGACCAGTCCCACGCATCTCGCGGGAGTCTCACGCATTTAACTTCTACCTCACGCCCTCACCCGAGGCATATGTATTCTCAGAATTCCTTCAAATTATATTTTTTTAATGTGCTATTTTCTCAAAACAAGGATACAACATGTACAAACACGACTATCGGCGCTAGCGATCCCGTAGCGATCGTCACAGTGTTCGACGCCGCCTCAGCAGCCCGAAGCAAAGGATATTCAAGGGGAACTTTGTATCAATGTAGGGCTATTCACTGTAAAGTTGTATGTTATATCGACGCTTGATTGTATTGTGACTTCACGCATGATTTTCCAAAAATGCCCATCTCAAGCAAATCCAGAAGAAATCTCAAGCAAGCCATTGGTGTGAGACCCTTGACAGGTCTGTGTTATGGATTGTAGTTTTTGTCAATAAATGTTCACTGAAGTCTGTGGTATCTTACAGATTCTCATAAATTTTGAATTTCATTTTATTATTCAATGTAAGTAATTTCTTGTACTGTACGGTTGCTTCTTTCAAGTAGCCCAGGTATAAATTCCAGTTTGGACCAGTTGAAAATCCCAATTGGTCCAACTGGAATTTCAACTGGTTTAGCTGGTCTTCCAAACTGGTTTAACTAGTCCAGGGTCTATCCAACTGGTTGAACTGGTCCAACCGGTTTTACCAATGTTCGAACTGGTCCAACTGGTCTATTCAAGAGGTCCAGTTGGTCCAACTGGTCTATTCAGTAGGTCCAACGGGTCTACCCAATAGGTCCAGTTGGTCCAACTGGTTTATTCAGTAGGTCCAACGGGTCTACCCAATAGGTCCAGTTGGTCCAACTGGTCTATTCAGTAGGTCCAACGGGTCTATCCAATAGGTACAGTTGGTCCAACTGGTCTATTCAGTAGGTCCAACGGGTCTACCCAATAGGTCCATTTGGTCCAACTGGTCTATTCAGTAGGTTCACCGGGTCTACCCAATAGGACAAGTTGGTCCAACTGGTCTATTCAGTAGGTCCAACGGGTCTACCCAATAGGTCCAGTTGGTTCAACAGGTCTACTCATAGGTCCAGTTGGTTCAACTGGTCTCACCATAGGTCCAGTTGGTTCAACTGGTCTACCCAATAGTCCTTGGTCCAACTGGTCTACTTAATAGATCCAGTTAGTCCAACTGGAACAGGTCAAAACGGCAACACTTTTAGACCAGAACGGCAATGGACCAAAACGGCAATAAGTCAGAACGGCAATAAACCAAAACGGCAAAACTTCCAGAATGACATAATTGGCAAAAATGGCTAAATAAAATACTACAGGCCTAGGCCTAGAGATATAAGCCGAGGGCGTACACTAATCATTAGTTATTGTTATAAAAATGTATACTGTACATAAATGCGGTTATACAATCGCCTAAAATTGCAGAGAAAAAAAATTAAAATACGAAGAAAAAAGTGTATGCACTTGTATTTACGACGTTGTCTTATAATTATCAATAGAAAATGATCCATTATAGTAACGTACACGTCAGCACTTGATGATGGCGAAGTTGTTGTTGTACCATAAATGGACCCGCTTGCATGACATTTTCAGTTGACCATAAACAGTAGGCAACACAGTTAATAATTAAATCACCGAATCAACAATAGTTTGCTTAAAACGCCTTTTTTTTTAATTAAAAGTTTATTGAAAGTAACGTTCCATGGGCGTTACCTTAAAAAAAACCCTCATGATTTCGCACCTTATTCATGAATTCGAACTTTAAGGTGCTATTAACTCATATTTACATCGGTTTGATGGTTTTATTTTAACTGCTGTTACTAATATAACAACAGAAGTACAACTCAAATCAAATTAACAGACCATTCTGATTCAATATTTATTTTTGTATATCATCAGTTTGGTTTATTTCTCATCTTCAAAACATTGTACAAAACAGATAAAATTCGCACAAGACAGGACAAAAAACTCTTACAATAAAGATAAGGATGGTCTATAAAAGATTTCTTTAAGAAGTAAAAATTCGCAAAATAAGGTGATTTTATGTGATTTATAACTACTTGACCGTGATTTGAAACCAGTGTCAGTATAATCTTAGGTAAGCATGTGGTTAACATAAGCAAGAATTTAGCCAATGAAACTGTTTATCATCTTGATGCCTTCCGACAAAAAATGACCCTACCGGCGTCACCACGGCGTCCCCACCGATCGATCTAACGTGACGTTGTTATGTGGGTGTTTTATAGATTATTGAGAATGGTAATATCACCGAAAAAATAGATAAAATGACAGTTGAATGACCAACAAAGACAACTGAAGACAATAGTTCGTCATTAGAACTATTTAGTATAACTTTATTCGGAAAATTAATCTCAAAATCGAGTTGCCGTCCCCGGCGTTGTCAGTGACGGCGTATGATTTGTGTGCGAATTTTACCAATTATCGCCTAAGCAAAAAATAGTTGATCCATGTAGTAAGCCTACCTTGCAAATCAACCCAGAAACCCGGTAGTTTGTTGATTGTTTAAGCGTCCCTTCGCTGCAAAAATAGTGTTTTGGCAGTTGCGTCCCCGGTGACGTCGTGAGGGCATGGTGGAGGCTGGTTACGACTTGGTGGCACATCGATTGAGTATTTTCATTCATCTGGCCATGTAAGTCAGTGGCGTATCTAGATGTCTTGAAATGGNNNGGGGGGGGGGGGCTCGATAATCAGTTTAGGGGCGCATAATTCGCAAAATACGGTGATTTTAACTACTTGACCGCGAGTAATTTTTTAGTGGGCGGGGAGTATATACGCCACTGATGTAAGTACAGATTCATGCTTATATATTACACACCTTTATAGCAAGACCCTGCAAGTCTACCCATACACTTAAATTAGTGTAGAAAACTAGATGACGTCGGTACGATGTTTCTTTTAAAAAAAATAACAATTACGATGAATATTCTCAGAATTCTAAAATGGACGGAACTATAATTAGTATTTCATACAAATTGTAAATAGGAAGAAAGTATTATCGTGCATGATAGGAAGGTAAAACGTTCCCAACGTCAACACAATAAGAGAGGTACGTAGCGTCCCGATTGTCATGTGCACGTCAGTGAAATCAGGTGATTGAAGATAATTTCGTACGTGCCGTCTTGATCCAAACAACTTAGTGACGCCGGGGATGAGAACTCGTCCAGTACATTACACATGCCATAACAAGGTATTGTATGTACAGTAGTTTAAATTTTAAGATTTGTGCCAGAATGCTTCTAATCGACTCTGACGTATTATTTCCCTTTCACACAGATCTTTTTGGGTTGTGGCCACTTTCGTTTCTGAGACCCTTCAGAAAAATTTGCAGTCCTGCCAAGTATGGGGTGAATGGCTCGGGATTATCCGCTTCATCCCCTACAAACGTCAAAGGTCTAGCATTCACACAGGCCTCGACCTCATGTAGGCCAGTTTCTGATTTTATCTTTGTGAGACAATCCGATCCCAACGAATTTTTTTTCAAAGCACCCTTAACTGACCGTAAAAGCCTCTCCCACCGTCCTCCCTACCAAGGTGAACGAGGAGCAATATATCTCCATTTTGAAGCTTCAGTACTCAAGCATACTGAATTAACTGTTTTTCTGTGCCTTTAAATGTTTTTGCGTTATCCAAGTACAGTAAAGTATGGTGGGTCACCCACGTCTAGCTACAAACCGTCTAATAGCTAGCACACAATGCTTCTGTGACATAAATTCTGTAAGCTCTAATTGGATAGCTCTGACTACTGCACATGTATACAAGAGGATATAAAAATTCACCTTTGAGAAGTCCACACAAAATAGAGGACCTGCTTAGTCTAAACCTGTGACTGTAAACAGGGGTGCCCGTTGAACTCTCATATCTGGCAGCGAGGCCGTTATTTGGTTGGAAGCCTACGCATCAACCCTTTGACATGGTATACAAGATTTCTTTACTGCCTTCACTATGCGTCTGAGACCAACAATCCATAACTCATTTCGAATCGACATTATAACTGTCTCTACTCCAAAACATGAACTTTGGGAAATAGAATTGGATGTTTCTCGCGAAACGAGAGAATGATATAAACGACCACCTACTCTTAAAAGCCCATCATTTTCAATGAATGGATTTAACTTGTGCCAGAGTGACGATGATTTTGGGACTGACTTGACTTGGCACTTCCATCTCTGAGCCATAAAACAATTTCAGCATGTGATTGATCAACTGTGTTAATTCCTCCTGCGACAAAACACCTGAACGTCTTTCATTACTGTTTTTCAAATTACTTACGAACTCCAAGACCCAACAGGTTATTCTAAAAGCCTTGTCAAATTTATTCCACCTCTCTCCTTCCAAAACCTTACTAGGAGGGATCCACTTAGTGGCCACAGGCATTACAGTTTTTACTTCGGGTCCCAAAAACTGTTCCGTCTCCTTTGTAGGAACTATCTCATTGACTGGAATATCAAATGGCCTGCGCAACCAACATGGCCCAGCTAACCACTCTGTAGAAAAAAAAACCCAGCTTCTCAGCCAATACACATCGGGTTTGCAAATCCGCTGGATTTCCCTTCCCTGGACAGTGTGACCAAAACAATTTGCTTGTCTAATTGCTGAATTACAGACACCCTATTAGCTACAAAGGTCGTCCACCTAGAGGGTTCAGGGGCGGATGTAGAGGGGGCCGGGCCCGGCGCCGCACCCACCCCCTCCCTCTTTTTGGAAAGTCAAAAAAGGTAAAAAGATAAAAAAAGAAAAAGAAAAAAAATGATCGCCCAACAGGCCTCAGAGGTTATTTTCGGGCGTCAAGTTTCGCGTCTTGACAAACATGCAATTCATTTCTTGTGATGTAGAATGTAGACGGTGTAGAATGTCGTTTATGGGAGTGGGGGAGGGGCTGTCTCTTATACACATCTAGATGTGTATAAGAGACAGTATATATTCAACAGTGTTAAAAAAAACACTGAACAAAGAGTCAACGCCCATTTTGTATTTTGATTATTCGGACAATTTATTTTGGTTCTGGTTATTTTTTGAATTGAATTGTGTTCCAAACTTGTTTTTAACATGATTGAAGAATCATTGAAGCTTTATGTAATTTAAAGGAATGTATTGTAGGCCTATACGTGCTCATTTACATATGACCATGACAACGAAAGGAAATCGAAACTATTTTATAGAAAAACATTAAAGTGCAACCAAATGGGCTTTAAAACAGCGTTTATTGTTTGTAACGGTGGCATTGCGGAAGTGCATTTTGAAGTATTAAACAATGAACATCACCGAGGTAGCATTGTGAGTATTTCTTTCACGGTAAAACACCCAGGCTTAATACTATTTTATCGTGACCGAGTATGGATCGATTGACTAAATGTATCCTTGTCCTAGCTTGGAAAATAGCAGTAGTCGGAGCACAGTGTCCTTCGTAAGTTATTTTATCAATTGTTTTTCTTTCTTTTGCAGAACAATTATAAGTTAATGTCATCATCATTATTTTTATCATCATCATTCATCATCATAATCACCATTATTGCCACCATCATCATAATCATCATCATCATTATTACTTTATACAAGGCAAAATTACACAAATTTAATACTTTGAGAATGGGCAGACGTTTGCTATAAGCACGGTGCATTAGTGTTGTAACGATAGTGATATATGTAAGTTTAAAGTCAGGCTCCGGAGGAAAAAATTTTTTTGATATGTTGTAGAATTGATTTTTCTAAGACAGAAAAAAGTTGTTTGACGAAAAACTGGTGAACGGTGAATGAGATACAGATTTTTTAATATTTAAAAACTGGGGGAAAAAAGGGCGTAACTGCCCATTTTTACACCTTATTCCCCCAGTTTTTAAATATTAAAAAATCTGTATCTCATTCACCGTTCCCCAGTTTTTCGTCAAACAACTTTTTTCTGTCTTAGAAAAATCAGTTCTACAACATATCAAATTTTTTTTTCCTCCGGAGCCTGACTTTAACAGAAAAAAGAGTTCTGCTACATTAAAAGGTAAATGGGAACCGAGGCTGTCGTTTGGAATATGGAATTACCATTTTTCAGAAATAGCGGGGAATACCGCTCCTCTCACTAAAACGACAAAGACTCGATCACTATATTATGCCTATGCTAAAATGTATTTTGTTATTTTTTAGTGGATTTGCTTGTTCAGGTCCGTCGTGTATCCTAATATACCCTACAAGTAATGGTTGGAAATATAGAAATACAAACGGAGACATTCGTATTGCAGGTATGAACAAAACATGAAATTATTTCGGGTTTTCCTGTTTTGTAAACACAATAATGGAGAACACGTTTACTCAAAGCATATTATTCGTTTGTCACTAATAAACGCTGAATAAACCTAATATCTAAACAATGGAAAACACGATTGCTCAACTTTAACTTATATACCCTAAAAGTGGACCTTGTATTTTCATTTTATAAGCTCACTTAAAGGACAGAAAAAACTAACGTCAAGATGTTCTGTTAACTCACTGTGAGTCTTAAAAAGTCGATTTCAGATTTTTTTAAAAATCTCAACACTCCTCCCTCGCTAATGGAATGCAATGTAAAATGATTCATTATTATTTAGCTATTTATAAATAAACTTTTAAAAATGAAGAATGGAGGCCCACCCATGTCACCCTGTATTTGATCGAAATTTTCCATCCATTTACACAATTGACATTTACAATAGGCCTATACCAAATTATAATCCTACCTGTTATCTTAATACAGAATATAATGTAGGACTGTTAAAAATAGTTTATTTTCTCTTATTATTAAATTTATAGTATAGTATTGTGTTACGTTTAATGTAATGTATTTTATATTTTTGTTTAGTTCGATTGTTTTGCTACTTTTAAAGAATAATATAAAAGAGATGATATCTTGAATATATAATGACCGAAACTGGTATATGCGTCCATAATTTATAATTACTATAACGAGAGTTTAAAGAGTATAATTATTCTCATTTTTACCTTACTGTTTGCAGCTTTAGGCAATGTCTCTACATCACCAAACTGCTACAAATTTATAAGAGTGAACAGAAAAGGCCAATCATGTGTTGATGCTCAGCGTGAATGCGAACAAGCAGGTGGCAACATCACCGAAATAAACAGCATTGACGAGTATGAGCGTTTGACAAAAAACGTGCTAAACATTATAAGTGTTTTGGAAGTTAGTACATTCAGTGTTCACGTCATAAACCTGCCACTTGATCACATACGTATAGGATGTGCAACAATTACAGTACAAGATGGATATTTTTTTAATAACTTAAATATTAAAAATACCCATTGCACCACAACCCACATGGTAAACACTATTTTCTGCGAGCACACGGGTAAGTAGTTAGTCACAGGTGTAGGGTGAGATGAGGTGGGTAAAGTTGAAAGAGGCAGGTTGAAACACGTAGGCCTATATTACTTCATAATGAAATGTTCTCGTGAATGCTAAGACTGACATCTGGTAATTTCTTTTTACAAATTTTAGAATTGTTGCCCAGGTATCAGGGGAGGAAATGCTTTATCAACCAAAAATTAAAAATATAAATTGCGATACATCTCGTATTGTAAACTATATGGTTTAGGAGTGCATGGGTTACTAATTGGTGAGGGTGAGGGTGGGGGTTGAGACAAACATTTTTTGGCCTACCTCAGCATTAAAATAATGTTTTCCTTTGATTGACGTTTATGGGAGTGGGGGAGGGGGGTTGGGTTGGGGCTGGATTGTTGCTGTTCCAACGTCTGCTGTCTGTTAAATACATCGTATAAACCCTGCGTCTATGAAATTAAGAGCAAAAAAAAAATTTAAAAAAAAATGACTTAGTTTACTTTTTTTGGCAATCCTGTCTGGTATATTATTTGTGTACCTCTAATTTTCCAATTTGTTTGCATCGGTTCTTAAAATTGTTTTCACTTTTGTTTTGTAATGAAGAAAAACAATTAATAGACTGAATGATACACTAAGTAATAGACCACATAAAACAGCACAGCTTATTTTTGTGCACCTTATTAGTGCCGGTATAATGTGATCTGCATACTTAAGTGATTTATGTCATGTATTTTTTATATTTCTTGTAATAGAACTTATTTTAGGTTAAAAGAAACAACAAATCAAACAAAACTGACATAATAATGTTTTTATTTTTCTTAATTATTTTATAGACGTGCATACGGGAATTTGTTCTATGCCAGGGGCCACCGAAAAAATGCTAAAACCAACAATATCGGTTCATCAGACAAGTCATATTTGGTCTAGGTCTTTCACTAATTTTTTTGTTACAGACAAGACAATATCAGGACACACTCCAACTGAATTTACACATTCATCAAAGGAAACCCTATCAGAAATGAAAGTGGGTCCTAGCTTGCGGATTGTTGCTGTTATAATGTCGAGTGTCGTGGTCACAATCGCAATCATTTTACTAAGTTTCTTGCTTGTCCGACACAGACAGAGAACAACAAAACCAGGGTAATAATGATATCAAGTTATTCTGTTAGGACGTCAACTAAACGATTATGATTTGGTTATTTCTATGGTTATTGTTATAACTATAATTATGATTATGGTTATGATTGCCATTACCATTGTAATTACAGTTGTCGTTGTCACTGTCAGTGTCGGTATCGCAAGGCATCGTCATCATTATAAATATTAATATTATAAATATTTTATTATTTATAGTATATTATCTACACTATATATTATTATTATTATTATTATTATTATTATTATTATTATTATTATTATTAATATTATATTATTATTAGGCCTATTATTATTATTATTATTATTATTATTGACATTATTATTGACATTATTATATAAAATTAGCAATACTCCTTTTACATACATTTAGTGGTTTATTTAATATAGTATACCAGTATCTAATAATAACATTACCACTTATTTTTTACCACACCTTGTAAAATATTTTTGTAATTTTGTAATTTGGTGTAGAGGGACCGTGTTTTGTAAACGAAATTATTATATTATAGTATATTCTGTAGGATTTACTGAAATAAAAATAATTGAATACACCCTCATAAAACCTAAAAAGAAATAGGGCTAATCTAGTAATTTCGAAACAATTTATACCACACACAGATGTTATTATAAACAGCACAATATACATTGGAAACCACTCTGGGCCAATTTTTGCTGGTCAAGCCTTAAAGAATTGGTACTTATTTTTATACAGAAATGGCAAACCGGTAGATAAAGTTGAATATCAGGACTATGTATAGCTGAAGGTACACACGAATATGCTACACATAACTATGTTGTCCAACACCAGAAAACTACAGCTGACGAAGTTGTATACCAGGATGTAGAAGATATCGATAACAATGAATACGATGATACTGCAGTTGAGGTGGTGTACCACGATACCGCAGTTGAAGTGCTATACCAGAATTCAAGTAAGGACTAAGCTGAAAGAAGAGGTTTGAGTACAGGATTTAAAGAATCTCATTAACAGTTATGTTACTTACCAACTAAAAAATGAGATTTAAGATGATATATTGATAGTCGAGAAATAATGTAAATATTATAAGATCAATTTTTTTTTGGTAAAAATACTGTCTAGTTAGGATGAATGATGTGACATTTCCTCTAGAATATACTAAACATTGATCTGTATAAATATAACTTTAGCTTAATTTTTTTTTAAAGGAAACAAGTTTCGGGCACTAGACTAGGGCTGATGCAGGATTTGGCGGTAGGGGGTGCTTGAGAATCCACACCACCTCAGGGCCTCCATGGCTGCGGGGCGGATCCAAACATTTTCTGACGGGTGGGCACATTGCCAATATGGAGTCCTAGATGGCGGGAAATGAGCTTTCCCGACTTCTGCTGAGGTGTCTTTTAATGTCGACTTTTAAGTCCTTCAAAATTCAAGGTTTCTCTCCTCTTTAAAACAATTCCATGAATCAATGAACCCCAAAGAGAAAGGTGGGTTCGGGTTCTCCCCGGGAAAATATTGATTTCTAAATGGCGGGAAATGATCTTTCCCGACTTCTGAAGTGTCTTTTAATGACTTTTAAGTTCTTTAAAATTCAAGGTTTTCACCTTTGAAAACAGTCAGGTAAATATTTCTTATTCTTATTACAGTAAAATAGGCCTATTATGACGTGTGTACGGGTATACATACGTTGCATACGTATTATTTTTTTCCATGAATCGATGAACCACAAAAAGAAAAGGGGGTCGGGGGTCCTCCCCCGAGAAAATGTTTATCCCTAGATGGCGGGAAATGAGCTTTCCCGACTTCTAATTTTCTTATTGCAACAAAAAACAAAAAACAAAAAAACAAAAAACAGCTCACAGGTCCTGAAAAGGTGGATCTATAATTCTTTTTATTTTTTTATTTTTCATTTTTTTTTGCCTAAAGGAAGGGGATCAAGACCCTGATCCTCCAGATCCACCAATGTGATTTGCGAGAAAATCTAACTCGGTCAGGGACTGGATAAACACTCTCTTTCCCCAGTCCCTCCTCCTTCTTCCCTCTTTCTTTTCTAGCAATTCTTTCCGATCATACAAAAATCTCCATAGACATTATATATTTCTGCCGAAAAGTGAGGGGGGGGGGAGGACCCGGGGCAAGTTACTGCATGACCGTTTTTATATTTTTATTAAAACCAATTTCTTCTAAGTTTAAATACATTTTCCTTTGAATTTGTGATAAGTCGTTATCACGCATAGACTTGTGCTAAATGCGTGACAAATTTATGATCAGGCATGTGTTTCTGCAAAATGCGTGTTTCATCCAAAATTACTTAAAAATGCGGGACCCTCCCGTACGATGCATAGCGGTTGGTAACTATGCGATCGCACCGTATGCACACCCCTCCCCCTCATCATGCACCCGCCCCAGCTAGCCTTTTCAAGTCAAGTGGTACAGAATTACAATATACATATATAATATAAAAATACGTACAATTTTGACTTTAGAATTGAACCTTTTTTCACAAAATTTGGCGGGTTATTCTTGGTGTGATGCACCCAAAACTAATCAAATCCTATTCCTCAGACTTGAGAGTTTTTACGTGTTTCATCTTTTCTTACCAGACGTTGATAGAAGCAAACGAACTGGAAACCAAAAAGGATTTGCACATGTCATGGTTGGCCGTCTTTTGAGAGTCGAGAAAGAGAAAAAGGAAGTGTTTCAGTTTAGTGAGGATAATGAAGTGAAATCGATACGTGTATGCCAAATGATAACAAAAGCACAGAACCAAATAATTATATCTGCAGATAATTGGATAAATCAGCGGAATGTTCTGCTCATCGATGCCAGGTGTGGTATAGCTTGCTGCAGTGGCGTATCTAGAAGTCTTGAATTGGGGGTGCTGATTGGGGAGTGGTGGACGAAGGTGAAGTGAGGGGGGGGGAGGCTCGATAATCATTTCGGAGGCGCTGATTATCAGTTCAGAGGCGCTAACTCGCAAAATAAGGTGATTTTAAGTGATTTTTAACTATTTGCAAGTGATTTTTATGCGGCGACTTAGAGGGAGGGAGGCGAATAATTTTTTGGAGGGCAGTGCGCCCCCCGCGCACCCCCTGGGTACGCCACTGGCTTGCTGTGGAACAATGGACTCGATGAGGGCGATCTTATGTAGGCTGTATTATATAGGAACTCTAGGCTGTATGAGTTGGTGAATTTGTCGGTTGTTTACTTAAGTATATAAGTTTTAAGTAAAAATGTTCATTATTTGTTTTTTCTTTTTATGCTAGGTACGGTATAACATACGAAGTAGTGATCACAGATTTCCAAATGATTATTTTTCTTCTTCCTAAGCACGAGCTTTTCTTAGGCAAAAATGCGAACAAATATATTTTCTCTACACCAGCAACTCAGCTAGTCTTTACTGCAGGATAGAAGAGATCAGCATAAATTGTCCATGGTACGAAAATGTCTGAGTGGCAGAGTTCCACCATAGTTTGATAACATCTTTACCCCTGTAGGCAGACTTCATAACCATCGGACTAGGGCCAGCTCTTCGGGACATTTGTCAATGCCCAAATTTTAGACCGAATATGGTAGGAGGAGGTTTGCCTAGGGGCAGCAAAACGTTTAATTCTAATTCTAATATTAGAATTAAACGTTTAATTCTAATATTAGTAATAATAATAATAATAATATTAATAATAATAATAATAATAATAATTATTATTATTATTATTATTATTATTATTATTATTATTATTATTATTATTAACTAACCATTTTTGCTGCTCTAGATTTTTAAACATATTGAAAATGTTCGTATTGGTCTTATATAATTTTAACAATTTAAAAAATGTTATGATAGAGATTTTAATGTATATTTTCTGGTTTATGTATGTTGCAAGTTTTTATGAATGTGAATGTTATTGGTGTCTTTTTGAATCTGAGAGGAGGAGGTTTGCCTACAGGGGCAGCAAAACGTTTAATTCTAATATTAGGAATTATAATGATGATGATGATAATAATAATAATAATAATAATAATAATAATAATAATTATTATTATTATTATTATTATTATTATTATTATTATTATTATTGTTATTATTATTATTATAAAAATAATAATTAGCTATTTTTGCTGAAATAACGGAGATCAATATGATACATCCTAGTGATCGGACTTATCAAGCAGTTCCCAACCATTACGTCATTAAGACGCAGGCACCACTTGAGTGTGACAAATTCACCTTATGAAAAGGCATTCGTGCTCTTGGGATGGAGAAAAGGAAGAGATGAAAAGGCATTCGTGCTCTTGGGATGGAAAAAAGGAAGAGATGAAAAGGCATTCGTGCTCTTGGGATGGAGTCCAAAAAAGGAAGAGAAGTATGCTGTATAAAGGAAAAAATGCTGAAGACGATTATCTTCGGATAAGTGCTAGTGGTCAACGTACTTTTGGTGAAAAAAATACCTGAAAATGCGCTCTTCAACGTTGTATGTGGTCGTTTAATTGTATAGGCCTGTTAGTATAGTATAGTTTGCTGTTGACAAAATTACTTTAGTTTGCCTTATTATAGGCCTCATCAGTGCAGCTAGGGTACAGACCAAGAGGAAAAATGAACATCGAAAATGAACAATGCCAAACCAAGGCAATATAGATACAGCCCAGGTGTGAATGTAATAATAATAATGCAATAATCCGATGCAGTTGGTTCCACGCATGTCTCACAGAAATAATTATAAATATAGCAAATATATCGTTTTACTTTTGTATGTATATAAAATATGTACATCAACCTTAATAAAACACTGAAGAAATATTCAACGCGCATTTTTAATTTTTATTATTTGAACAATTTATTTTGGTTCTAGTTATTTTTTGAAAAGGGTAGTATTCCATACTTGTTTTTAACAGGAATAAGTAATTATTGAAGATTTAGGTAATTTAAAGAAAATGTACTATTTATGTGTTCATAAGAACATGGCAAAGAAACAAAATCGAAACTATATTTCAAATCTAGAAACTAAAAGTGTAACTCAATGGGTTTTAAGAAAGCGCTTATTGTATATTCTATAATGGTGTAATTGCGGAAGTGCATTTTGAAGTGAAGTAGGCTTACAGTTGGCCTATACAATATTAAACTTTGCACATTACAGAGGCACCATGTGAGCATTTCTTTCATTGTAAAACACCCAGGCTTAATAATATTCTATCGTAAAGGAGTATGAAGCAATTCATTCGAACAGTATAACCTTGTTACTTCTAGTATTTTAATTTCTATTATCATTGACCTGGTGAACTCAAATAGGCCTATATTTGAGTGTCGAATATAGTTCAAAAATACCTCCATTTTACAATCGCAACTGTATTCTCTAGGTCTCCCTCACTAATGTATACTCTGGCCATTACATAAAAGACAAATACGATCAGATTCATGACTCCAAGTCTAAAAGTGGGCCAATTTTAAAAGTTGATGTAGTCTTCATCAATGGCCAAGGCACTAAGTACCAAGAACGAATGTACCCCTGGATTTATGTTATACTATGAAGTTTATCCATGTAAAAACTATTTTCTGTAAGTTTTATAACACAGGTTTGTATCATTTTTTCATTGCTTTATAATTACCAAATAATTATTGGTATTGTACTTCAGGAACTAGGCCACCTATGTCTCCGTCAGACCTTTCATTAAATTGAACCATTTCAGCAGCAAATTTATAGTAATACTACGGTATATTTTTATGATACCGGTAACTTTTTTCGTAAGTAAATCAATGAATACGCATACGTATTACCTAACTTATGGTAGATTTTACCCAAAAAATATCTAACACGAAGAAGAAAAAATAAACATATCATTCATTAGGAGGGGTAAATATAGACTGGAATGAAATACATCGGGTACTGGATATCATAATAAATATCTGATCCCCTCTCATAATCTCCTTACACTAGTTTAATCCTTACTCCTCATAAACCCCCCAAAAAAAATCATAATTATTTACTTTTTAGGACATCATGCATCATAACAGTTTACCCCTTTTATGAACAGATTGTGCCTATATAAACTGCTTTTAAGCAGTACCCCTCTATAGAAATATAATGGTATCTATAAACCATACTCTCAGCAGACATCATAATAGGGCTACATCATACTCTCAGAAGCGTATCCCCTTCCTGGAAGACACCAGTATTTAACATCATACTCTGAAAAGGTTACCCCGTTCCTAGGACACCAGCATGTATGCATCATTCTCTTAAAAGCTTACCCTACATTCTTAGGAGGACACCTGTATGTATACATCATACTCTCAAAAGCCAACCCCTTCGAGGAAGACACCAGTGTGTATACATCATTCTCTCAAAAGCTTACCTCCTTCCTAGGAAGACACCATGTATACATCATTTTCTCAAAAGCTTACCCCTCCCTT